GCTTTTGACTTTTAATCAAAAGCCACTTCTGCAAAATTCCGTTAACCTACCATTTTCAGAGAAATCGACTGTGTCAAATTTTAGGACCGCTATAAACTTTTCCAAAATACTTTCATTCTATGAACTCAAAGACAATCTAGCTCTTGTTTATGACAGAGCTGCATTTAAGCACCCACACCCTCTGGGGCCAGGGTAACATTAAGAAAACATCAAACAATAAATTACTATATCCAGTCTGCCCAACGAGGAAATGTTAGAGCCAGATATTCCAATTCTTAAATTGAAGCGACTCATCCAGATTTTCCCAAATAAAAAACCCTTTCATACATTTTTATATTTGCACATAAACTCGAAAAAAAATAAAAAGCTTCACTACAGTATATTTATGCTTATACGATTGACACATTCATGTGTGTTGACCAAATGTTGGCGATACTTCTGCCCTGATGTGTTAGCTTAGCATCTTTTCACCGGAATCGAAGGAGATTGCCTTGGAAACAGCGTCAGCATAAATTTTTCAGTAAAGCCAATGGACAGCTGGTACAGAGTAATCTGCCGTCGTCTTCTGGTGGAACCGACCTTCGAATCTTTTCAACAAACAACAATTAACACATAAACTCGAAAAAATGAAAAAAAGGTTAACTACAGTATATTTATGCTTATACGATTGACACATTCATGTGTGTCGACCAAATGTCACCAAATGCCCCGATGCACATTTTGGTGAATATATACGTTTTTATGTGTTTTTCAGGTAGAAACCATCGGAGATGCCTACATGGTGGCGTCCGGTCTGCCGGTACGCAACGGAAACCGGCATGCTGGTGAGATCAGCACCATGGCCCTCGATCTGCTCAGTCAATGCGGCACATTCGTGATTCGCCACATGCCAGACATGCCATTGCGTCTACGCATAGGTCTGCATTCTGGTAAGCTACGACGCGACGGTTGGAGTCTGGAAGGACTCAGACGACATGAGTTGACTGATGTCACACAACTTTTCACTTGGAAGGGTCTGTTGAGAGGGCGTCGTAAAATGGCCTCATCGTAAACCGAAGGAGTTGAGAATGTTGAATTGCGCGAAGAAGTCCTTGGTTCAATAACCTGCAACATTGAAGTTATTTACGAAAAACGGTACCAAATACGCTAAGACAAACGAAAGCAGCAATCACGCTTACTTTCCGTGTCCATATTTGCAGTCTTAAAGAGGCATCCTATGATTTGGTTGTTTGTCTATTGCATGTTAACTGAGCTCACCTCCAAAAGATGTTTGATGTGGAGATCCAAAGATGAATGCTACCAGAAGACGATGACGGTTTCCTCTCGATCAGATGAAGTTCGGTCTAACGAGATCATTCTTGATAGTGCTGTCGGTGAGAAATCGTCTTCGATTCATAAAAACACACCTTAAGAAAACCGAGGCATATCACACTTGTGTGGTGGAATTGTCGACAGAATAAAGTGTTATTTACTACAGAAATCGAAAACATTACTTATTCTCAGTTATACGTAGCTCTTATATCAGATCTACTGGTCGCTTTAAAAACGTTAAATAAGTGAGGCAGTCGATCGCTATAGAAAATATACAACCTGGTAGTGTCGGCAATCCCACTACAGAAATGTGATTTCGGAAAAGCTTAGACTTG